ATTGGGAATGGAATCTGGGAAAGGAATCTGGGAATGGAATTTCGGGAATGGAAATGGGGATGGAATCTGGGGATGGAACTGGGAATGTAAATGGGAATGGAATTAGGAATGGAATTGGGAATGGAATTAGGAATGGAAATGGAAATGGAATTTGGAAATTAAAACTGGAAAAGGAATTTGGGGGAAAAAAACAGGGAATGAAAACCGGGAATGGAGTTTGGGGATGGAAATTGGGAATAAAAACCTGGAATGGAATCTGGGAAAGAAATTTGGGGATCCAATCTGGGAATGAAAACCAGGAATGGAATTTGGGGATGGAATTTGGGAATGGAATCTGGGAGTGGAATCTGGGAAAGAAATTTGGGGATCAAATCTGGGCAGGGATGGAATTTAGGGGATGGAATCCGGGAATGGAATTTGGAAATGAAAACTGGAAAAGGAATTTGGGGATGGAAAAAGGGGAATGAAAACCAGGAATGCAATTTGGGGATGGAAACTGGGAATGGAACTTGGAAATGAAAACAGGAAAAGGAATTTGGGGAAAAAAAAAACGGGGAATGAAAACTGGGAATGGAGCTTGGGGATGGAAATTGGGAATAAAAGCCTGGAGTGGAATCTGGGAAAGAAATTTGGGAAACCAATCTGGGAATGAAAAGCAGGGATGGAATTTGGGGATGGAAATGGGGAATGGAATTTGGGAATGGAATTTGGGAATCAAAACTGGAAAAGGAATTTGGGGATGGAAATTGGGAATGAAAACCGGGAGTGGAATCTGGGAAGGAAATTTGGGGATCCAGTCTGGGAATGAAAACCAGGGATGGAATTTGGGGATGGAAATGGGGAATGGAATTTGGGAATGGAATTTGGGAATCAAAACTGGAAAAGGAATTTGGGGATGGAAATTGGGAATGAAAACCGGGAGTGGAATCTGGGAAGGAAATTTGGGGATCCAGTCTGGGAATGAAAACCAGGGATGGAATTTGGGGATGGAAACTGGGAATGGAATTTGGGAATGAAAACTGGCAAAGGAATTTGGGGAAAAAAAGGGAATGAAAACCGGGAATGGAATCTGGGAAAGAAATTTGTGGATCCAATCTGGGCAGGGATGGAATTTAGGGGATGGAAATGGGGAATGGAATCAGGGAATGGAATCTGGAAATGAAAACTGGAAAAGGAATTTGGGGATGGAAAAAGGGGAATGAAACCAGGGATGGAATTTGGGGATGGAATCTGGGAATGGAATTTGGAAATGAAAACAGGAAAAGGAATTTGTGGAAAAAAAAAACGGGGAATGAAAACCGGGAATGGAGCTTGGGGATGGAAATTGGGAATAAAAACCTGGAATGGAATTTGGGGGATGGAAATTGGGAATGGAATTTGGGAATGGAATTTGGAAATGAAAACTGGAAAAGGAATTTGTGGAAAAAAAACCAGGGAATGAAATCAGGGATGGAGTTTGGGGATGGAAACTGGGAATGGAATCTGGAAATGGAATTTGGGAATGGAATTTGGAAATGAAAACTGGAAAAGGAATTTGGGGAAAAAAACCAGGGAATGAAAACCGGGAATGGAGTTTGGGGATGGAAATTGGGAATGAAAACCGGGAGTGGAATCAGGGACTGGGGCTCGGGCACGGGTTCGCTATGTAACGGGATGGCGTTAATTAAGCTAACGAGGGCTAATTAAGCTAATTAAGGCGGGCACTCACGCTGACGTGCAGCTCGCCGAGGGATGGAAATTGGGAATGAAAACCGGGAGTGGAATCGGGGACTGGGGCTCGGGCACGGGTTCGCTATGTAACGGGATGGCGTTAATTAAGCTAACGAGAGCTAATTAAGGTTAATTAAGGTAGGCACTCACGCTGACGCGCAGCTCGCCGAGGATGGAAATTGGGAATGAAAACCGGGAATGGAGTTTGGGGATGGAAATTGGGAATGGAAACCTGGAGTGGAATCGGGGACTGGGGCTCGGGCACGGGTTCGCTAT